TTTATTGTTATTATTAAACTAAAATCTCCAGCATGGGGAAGTGGGATGAGCTCGACTTTTCTCGACAAGTCTGAAACATTTTTCTCACTGTTTTCAGATTTGATGAAAAAGAAGCCTTAAACAGCATTCAAGCCAGGTAATATGGATGTAGTTTTTAAGCACTGGTTAAATAAGGGGATAGTTGCTGTTAAGGATTTATACATTAATAATCACTTTGCTTCTTTCATGCAACTACAATCAAAATTTGGTCTTCCTTCTAGCCATTTTTTCAGGTATTTGCAAGCTCGGAACTTTGTAAAACAGCACATCCCCCACTATGAAACCTTACCGGCACAGCATAGTTTCTATGAGCTTATAAAAAAGCCCCCTACCTCAAAAAACCTAATTTCTCAGTTTGTTAAGTTTCAGTTCATCCCCATCTACTAGACATATAAAGGAGGCCTGGGCTTCTGATCTGCCTGGTGAGATTTCGGATGAGCAATGGGATTTGTCTCTTTCGAGAATCAAGACCTGCTCCATTAACTCTAGACTGCAACTTATTCAATTCAAAGTTATTCATCGCCTGCACTTCTCTAAAACTAAACTCAATAGGTTATTCCCCTCCGTCTCACCAAAATGCGACAAATGTAAATTAGATGATGGGACTCTGGGTCATATGTTTTGCTCTTGTCCTAAGCTAATGGACTTCTGGTGCATGATTTTTGAATTTTATAGCAACGCTTATGGCAAGACTCTATGTCCAGATTGGCATCTGATAATTTTGGGTTGCTCTAAATCTTCTCTTGCTCTTCCAATGTCCCTGCAGCAGTCTCTAATGTTTGGTTTAGAGGTAGCAAAGCGGGTTATTCTTCGGGAATGGAAATCCTCCACCCCCCCGTGTTTTAAGAAATGGCTTAATGATATGGTGTCCTGTATCTATCTTGAGGAAATTTGATACTCTTTGTCTGACAATCATCAGAAGTTCCTGGATGTGGGGTCCTTTCAATAGATACATACAAAATAATAGGCTACAATAACTGTCGTTTTCTTCTGGACTTGTATTTTCTTTTTATTTTATTCATTTACTGTTTCATTATTTTTACTGTAATTATAACTTGTTTTTCATCTTTTCTGGTTATTCCATATTCTATGGTGAGCTGTTTGATTCAGGGTCTTCAGTAATGCCTGTTGCTCGTTTGGACTCTGTCTCATGCTTGATAACACTCTATGGTCTGATGTGTACTTATTTTATCCTCTTATCAGAAACTTTGTTAGCTGACAGTGTTTTAATTGTTCTGTCTTGTGGACTTTTGTTTTTTTTTTTCCTTGATGTTTCGTCCTCTATTTTGGCTGCTTTACTCTTCAAAATCATAAATAAAATAATAATAAAAAAAAGAAGCCTTAAATGTTGTTTTTTGTGTTTTATTCCTAGAGAGCAGTGTTTGTTTAAGCTACTCAATGTCTACAAATTATAGGTGACGTTGCTGTTCATTTGTTCTTTCATTTAATAGTCCCTGAAGTTTGAAAGTCGAAAGTTTCTGTCACATGATGATGAACTGAAGCTGCTGTACCTTCAGGCTGTTTCAATTGTTGCTTCAAATCAGAAATCTTGGTCTGAAATATGTTCGGTAGCTGGTGAAAACACTTCATCTTGAACAAGGTGAGCAGTTCCACATCATCATCCAAAAATTTCTTCGCCCAGTCATGTGTTATTCTAATATCTGTCCGGTTGCAATAACCGACCAGAGAGCCATCAACCTCTGCAACAATCTCCACCTGAGAGACGTGTGGGAGTCCTGAAGATCCAATTTGGTAAAACTTAAGAAAATGTTTCTCTTTAGGAACAGAAAACATACAAATAAAACACATTTTAAAAAAGATGAATCCATATTTTAAACATATTGCATCTGAAAGTACCGACCCGAAAATCCTGAGATATTAGAACTTTAATGTGAACTCACAAGCTGATGAAAGGAGACAGAAAATAAGCGTCAATAAAAACCATCTTGTTCCACATCGAGCCGTGAAGTGAGCAGATTAATGAAGACGAGCTCTATAGTGTGTGTCCTGTGCAGTGATTCACTCTGCGCTCCACTTTCTTGAAATGACAGCAACAACACTGTAAAACATTTGTGCTGCATTTAGTTGTATGCTATCTTGTGCTATTTAAGTCAAATACATTTATCAAGTTTTAGTTTCTGAACCTGGATGTGTGAGTTTGTGAAAGATAAACTTACAATTAGTCCTGTTAACTTTTTATTGATTTTGTCAAAACATCCAGGACTTGAATAAACTGGAGGTTTTAGGTTAACACTTTAAAAAACCAAAAGAAGAAAAAGACAGGAATTTCCCAGTGTGCTTAGCGGCATATTTTTGTATCCTGTGTTGCACCGTGAATGAAAAAGAAGTGCATTACATCGACTCTTGTGCATGAAATTGAACATTTGACATATTATCACAACTGACATTGACAGTTTGCAAATCTTTAGAATATTCTATTTCTACTCAATTGGATTACTGTAACTCACTTCATCTGGGAACCAGTTAGTCGTTGCTCTCACGTCAGCAGCTGGTTCAGAATGCTGCTGCACGACTTTTGACAGGAACTCGACAAAGAGAGCATGTGACCCCTGTCCTGGCCTCACTTCACTGGCTGCCTGTATATTTTAGGATTCATTTTAAAATTCTTATGTTTGTTTTTAAATCACTGCATAATCTTACCCCGGCTTGCCTCTCTGAGCTTCTTCATCCTACATGCCCTATCGGTCTCTCAGGTCAGCAGATCAGCTGCTCTTGGAGATACCGAGAACAAAAAGGAAGCTCAGAGAGGACAGGGCTTTCTCTGTCATGGGTCCTAAGTTATGGAATGACTTGCCTTTGCAGATTAGAGAGGTCCCCTTCACTGTCCATTTTTAAAGCTCGTCTTAAAACCCATTTATTTTACTTGGCTTTCAGTTCCAACGGGACCTAATTCTAAATTGTATGTTTGTTTTTAAACTGTAAGTTTTTATTTTTTAATTTAATGTTCAGCACTTTGTATCAGCTGTGGTTGTTTTAAAGTGCCTTATAAATAAAGTTGGTATGGTATGGTATGGTATGGTATGGTATGGTATGGTATGGTATGGAATAGTATAACTGGTTTAAATTACAGCATTTAACAACGTTGACAACTTGTTTCTTGCTGTAAAATCATCTTCATAAATTTTAATTTCATAAAGTTTAAACCAATACAATTTTCTTGTTGACTTAAATTGCGTTTTCAAATCAGCAGGTGGGTTTTCAATTGTAAGTTAAACCACCTTCAAATGTTTTACAGTGAATGTACCGAGGCAATATTGATGAGATTTTAAATGTAAGGCAATTCTTCTGGTGAGAAAAATGTGTAAAAATGTTGCACATGTTCATTGTAAATTATGTAAAACAGAAAGTAAATCAGGTCCTTCTATTTTAATGATTAAGCCTTTGCCACTTTATGCCAGATTTTCCAAGGGACTCACTGAAACGTCCTGCTTCAATAATGCTTGGGGAATTTAACATGTTTTGTCAATTTCAGATTTTGTTTTCATCTCCACTCTTTTTCTTATCTTATTCGGCTTTCATATTTCTTAATGGTGCATTTTTATGTTTTACCCTTAGAGGGCAGTGTTACTCAAACTACTGTATTTTCACATCTAGAGCTTTTCTGTTTGCTTGTTTGTATTTATTTACTTTGACTGATTTTTTTATGTCTGTGCATTTATTATCCCAACAGACCAAACACACAAATAGCCTGTTATGAATACATCTTCTAAAGTGAAACCTATATACACAACTAAGCTCAGTACCTGTACTGAGGGAATTAACTAATGATAAATATTGACTCTACTCTCTGCAAAGTAGTCTCCTTGTGCCTTGAGCTCCTAAAATCTTTAAACATCTACTTTTGTGGTTATAAAAACTATAATAATAATAATAATAATAATAATAATAATGTTTCAAGTGTCTTTCAAATGTTCACTTCGGTTAATGTCAGTTCATTAAAGCAGTGCAATTTGCAACAAATATTGAGACAAAAGACAAGCTGTTACAGACACAAATATTTCAGATTAGCTCAAGCTTTGGGGATAGGGTGGAGTATGTCTGTTGACATCAGTTTTCACAGAAAATCACAGATTTTTGGTTAGATCAATATCTGTACTTTGACTGGGCCATTCCACCCTAATCCTAAGCCATTCCATTTTAGTTCCGGTTGTTATTTAGAGTAATTTTCCCAGTAGAAGAGTAACCATTTGATACCAGTCTAAACTATTTTTCAGCCTCTAACAAGTTTCTTGCGACTCTGCTATGCATTTATCTGCATTTTAGGTCCACAAGTCTTCCCATCAACTCAATCCAGCATCCCCACACCATGATGCTGCAACCTCTGTGCTTCACCCTGAGATGTTGAGTTCAGGTTGCAGTGTCAGTTTTCCTCCACATGCAACATTTTGCATTTGGACCAAAAAGTCAGTTTTGGTTTCTTCCAGAGTTTCTTCCACATGTTTGCTGTAGAAAAGTACCAACAGGACATCTGAAGACTTCCTTTTGATAATGACTTTTTTTTTTCTTGTTGCTCCCATAAGGGTCAGCTAGTTGTAGTTCTGTCATCACATTCTTTCACCTGAAATGTTGGATCTATTACTTGCTTCTGTAACACCAGATACCCATATCTTGATAGGTGTGCAGGTTGCTATTATTTCTAGAGCTTTTCATCTGACTGGTCTGATGTGGACCTTGGATTCTTTATTCTGTTCTTGAACCTCTGAAGTCTTGACAGAAAGCTGGATTTCACCTGAAATTAAGGAACATCACAGTAAAGGAGATTGAATACAAATGAAGACCACACTTTTCAGATTTCTATTTGCAATGAATATTGAAAACTATTTTTCCTTTTCTTTCACTTCCAACATTATGTCATCCTATAACAAAATGTACATGTTGCAATAGAAATAATTTTACTTTCTGGCTTATTTAGGCAAGAAAATATGTTAACCTTAAAAAATAACTATTAAGACCACAGTTTAGTTTAAAGCTGATGCCAGTTTATTTAAACAACACAGCAAATTATTTTTGCTCTTATTCTGTGAGGGAATCGTTAGCTAAATGTTTTGCTTCAACAAAATCTGGAGAATTGTATCTAAACTTAGTTGAACTTAATCCAAACACAGAAAAGCAATAAATGTTCTACTTTTTTTATACACCCAGAAACAACATGCTCACAGGAAAGACAGATGTCAGACGCACTCCCAGACAGACAGACATTTGAATCAATCAATATCCTTGTCATTAAGTAAAGTCTCCTTCAAGTTCACACGTTCTCGGGGGCGTCTGCAGCCGGCTGCTCATTTTGTCCAGGGGAACTGCGCTGACCCCTGAGCCACAGCACGGGATTGTCCTGATGCAAATCAGGAGGGGGAACCAATTCATCGTTGCACAATTCGATTAGACATCTGCATATTGAGCATCTGCACACAACGAAAATCTGCCAATATCTGTCCCTCCATCCCCCCACTGGCCCCCAGTGGGGTAAGCACCCCATGACCCCGAGGGCAGCCCCCTGTCCCAGCTCCAACCCCACCGCCCTCTGTCTCCCCCTCTTGTCCCCTCCTGACCCTGTCAGGCCCGGCTACAATACCTGACCCCGCCCCAGAGACGAGACGAGTGGAGTTCAAGGTAAATATCCTTTTCTCTGCAGCCGTCTGCCCGGGCCTGCGTGGCCCCTGTCCGGCCCTCGTCCAGTAATCACATGCACCGCTCTTTTTCCACACTTTTTCACCCAAACAGACAGATGCTGAAAATGTTTTTTTCACAACAACCTCCTTTAGGAGGACACATCTTAATGGCCTGCCTTCAAAATGAAGGCTTTCCTTTCTTTTGAGAGTTTCCATTGTAAGTAGCTCCCATTCAGAAATCCTAGCCACTCAGACTATTTCCCTCCTTTTTTCATCACTCTCATTGATTCATCTGGTTTCTTTTCAGCATTCAGAAGGGATGCAAGCAAGTCAAGAAGTTTAAAAATATGCTTAGTAGCACAAAATAAAACTGGAATAAGGTACAGTGAAACCAGAATTTCAGGGGTTTTTATTACAAAAAGCTAAATGAGGTTTAAAAGCACTGGTTCTGTTTGTTTAAATCATATATTATTATTTTATATAATTCTATGTTGTCCTAAAATATATGGAGGGATGTAATGTTGCTGCATCTTCCTGACATGGATGAGCAGCAGAAACTGAAAACTCATGCAAACACCTCTGTGTGATTTCTGATGAAGGAACGTAACACAGACAGTGATGCATCTCCTATAATCTACCTGAGATGGTCAAAGTTTTGTAGGCGCTTCAGGAATCACCCAGCAACCAAATCAGTCTCTGCTGGTTTGAAAGAGAACTTCTTCGCTGAGTCAAATTAGCAATCAGCATGGAGAGAAAGAGAGAACAAGTCAGTGTGACTTTTATATCTGTTAAATATATGTGGTTATTCTGTGAGCTCAGAATAATCACAGTGATACTCAATATTTGTACAATCATCTGAACCAGAGGGAAGCTGCTTGTTTCCAACAAATGTCCTTGAAAATGTGTAAGAAAATTAGGCAACATAGTTTATTGTTTACCAGGTTGTCTTTTTACCAATAAGAGACAAAAGCACCGAAAAGCAATAGAATGGATAACAGAGCAAGTTAGATTCCTACTGCTGAAAAAAATTGATCAAGTCATATTTTGTCAAAATCTTAAATTTAGATAAGTCAAACAAATTGTCACAAAATGAAACTGATTTAAGAATTTAAGTAAATACACAATCTGTAAATAATAAAGTGTCAAAAATCAAATTAGTTTTGGAAGCAGCAGAAGTCCAGTTGCACATAGTTATGAAGACAACTCTAGTTTCCTGTGTGGAGGAGGGAGAGCATTTTATTAATTATGATGAGGAACTTCAACAGAAATCCTCTCTGTCTCGAAAACACTTAACTGAACATTGTTCAGTTTTATAAAATATACATGGATTCCTTTCATACTATGTCTGAAATCAAATCTTAACTATTTGGCTACTTTTTCCAAGAGTCACAAGGAGAAAACCAGGAACTGAACTCGTTACTGCCACGTGTATAAGCAAACCTAAACACACAAAGCACTTTGGAGGCAAATGCCAGCTTGGTAATGCCTTCATAAAAACCTTCACACAAGTGTTTGTTTCCAGGAAAATGTCTGAATTAATGTCAAGGCTGAAAGGGGGGATTGCAGCAGCATAATAAAATAAACTTGAACGGGTTAGCTTGGTTGATTTTACCAACAATGTAACGTCCAACTGAAATCTACTGCAAGCTGGCAAAACCACTTCCTAAACTGTACATTCATTAAAAGCAAAGCAAAGACACTGACAGTTTAGGAAAACACATCACAAGTTCATTTGAAGGTAAGCAAATTGTTTTTATTAGTTAATATTTTACTTTGTTAGTGGTGTTTAATGATTTATTAGATTTGTCTCCATGTTAAAACATTTTATACACCAATGTTCTACGATTGGACATCAAGACATAAATCCCAAACTTTCGGCCTGCCGGTGCAAACGTGTTCAACACCTTCTCTAAAACATGCAAAAAAAATATTTAATGCTTTGCTGCTAATATGTGCTTTTGATGAGTTTGTACCTAGTCTTCCTTTTTCTTGGCAGGAAGTGAGTGTCAGGAGCTGTTGGTCATAAAACTGGTTTTGGTCGCGCTCCCAGAGTTCTGTG